CTCTGTTTTGGTTTCAGGTGTGGGGTCCCGAATGAGAGTCGGGGTTCATTTATCTTGTCATTTTATATTTGCATGCAGAATTATTTACACTATTATTGGAAAAGTACATCTTTCAGCTACTTTCACATGTATTTAACAAACATTTTCCAAGATCAAATTTGCAATTTGTATTTGCTTCGATTTTGGATATTTTATATCCCAATTTGCAAAAAAATGTTCTGTCTGGTTTCAATTAATCAAATTGTTAAGCAACTTACGACCTGTTGCACTATGTTCATGAAAATCTTTCTCTCAGTTTGGTCGGTGAAATTTTATTTTGCTGTATTAAATAAGAATCAGGATTGGCCTCTGTTTTTTTTTCATCTTGGCAGCAATAGCCAAGTATGTAGTCACCATATTTACTCAACAATAGAGTTTTAATTTGCTTCATTGTTAATAATTATTAATCGATTTAACAAAAAAAAATGTGGTTTAGACAAAACAAGCTAATAGTAAAATGCAAATGATTTTATTTGTACTTATTTTTTTAAAAATATTGAATGGAAATAAAGAGGTTTTATTATTATTATTAAACACAATAAATGACACAAAAAGAAAAGAAAATCTCTACTAATTTTTAGTGAAAATAAAATATTGAAAAATAACGCTTGGTTAACAGACACATGTCCTTTGGGATATCGCTAAAAACAGTTAAGACGTGCCTATTCAATTTTGTAATTTAAAATAATTTAACTATAATAAACACTTTTATATACAATCACTAAATTTACACTTAACACTAACGAAATACGATTCATATTTTTTTTTCGTTGAAAGCCTGGAACCCCGGATCAGTTAGACACCGTTTCAGTGTAGTCATCAGTTGTGTTTTATAACGTGACTTACAGTCTCGAACTCCCTGCTGATTGAATTTCAAGTTCCCCAGAATATACATTGCATGTCTCCATGCCAGAATGCATAAGATAAATGCGAGTGAAATACTGAAAAGTAAGCTGTTCATAAGGAATACTGAGAAAAACAAGTTTTTCGATAGCCTAGAAGCAACTTGGAGGATGTTAGTTGAAACCCTGGATCTAGATGGATAGATGGATGGAGAAATTTGAGATCCCACCCTCGATTTATATTTTGTATTGTTCCAGCGCCCTAAATAGAATTACGTAGCCTTACTCAGGTCAGAATACAAAACACAGTTATATTCCGAATTGTGAAAACTCTCAAACATTAGGTGCAGAATAGCTGGTTTTTCTGAAAGCCAAGCGGAAAGACACCTGCTAAACAAAAGATGCAAAGCAAATGCCTTAATCACTTTTGTGTCCAAGGAGTAAAAGTCGACGTTGTTTTCCTCCTTTAAATTAATATTATTGTAACTTAACTCACAAAACCTAAATTTTGTTAGGTTCTTCACCCAAAAACTCAAACTTTTGACTTGGCCTCGAATCGTATTGCGTAAGCGCTCTCAAATTCCTTTCGATGCACGTCCATAGCGACGCTCGGAAAAAGAGAAAATTAATATCCAACCCCGCCATTAATGCGAAAAGTCATCGACCCCGTCTCATATGTAAAGATTCTGCAGTTTCGTTTGAAGTCACGTCGGGGAAGCGAGAGGAGAAAAACGCCTTTTGTTTTGAAATCGTCACGCTGACGTAGATAATTTTGAAAGCTTTTAATACAAAAAAAACGGTTTCCCCACAGCGCAACATCCAAACAACCGAACGTCGGCCACACGAAGAGATTATTAAAAACCATTTTACTTGGTTGAATAGTATTTGCGAGTCTCTTTCGGAACATACAGGGTGACGCAAGTACAAAGTCCAATGTCCACCTTCTTTAGCGCAACATCAAAAACCCGTTTTAACGAGTTTATATATTTTGCTTATTTTCATTTCTCTAAGACATCCGAATTACTTTTGAGTATGCCAAATATGATATTAACATTTTTTACGATTTAAATTAAAAAGGAGTAACGTCGCCTTTGCCTTGGATAACAGCATGAACTCTATTGGGCCTTGTACAATTTGACCTGCACAAAATTCGTGGGTAAAGCTATCCCATATTTCTTGCAATTACTCACGTAGTTAGTACAGTTCGCTGAGGACCATTCATGTTACCGTTACTGTTAGTACCACCCTTTGGCCGACATACATCCACACCACGAGGCCCTGTGGTAGCTTAACAGTCCTTTTGAGACAATCCTCATGAAATGTTTCTGTTTTCTTCCGAGTCTGCTTTCCTTTGCCCGGTTATGTTTGGTCCACGATAGTAATGATTTGACCAAAATGTATATAAGGATTCCTTTTTTGAAATCATTCATCTCTAGCCTACTGGAATAAATGAAATAACACAAACATGTAGTGTATTTCTTTTTCCGACTTACATATTCTAATTAAAAGTCATAGTGCCAGCTTCAACATGTTTTTTCGTTATATTAAACACAGTAGTCGTTGCTGTCATCATTTCACTGGCTATAGTACTGCTGAATAATAAGTTCCGGCACTTTCGAATCAGTAGATTTTCCATTTTAACGCACATTTCTTATTCATATGTTTCATTTCAAAGCCTGATGGAAATGATTGATTGATTGATTACCAAACGATTAATTAAAGCGTAGCAATAATCAAATCATACAAGCAATTCCAATTACAATCATAAAAATGTTGTTAATTTCATATTTACGATTTTTTAAAAAATAATAAAATATTGATGCATTTCCCAAAATTTGGTTATTGGCGCTTGTACCAAGGAGCCACTAAAGCAAGTAATTATTTCATACATGGGGTGTTCCAAAGTATTACCAACTTGACGAACTTTAACACATGTTCTGTGAGTTTTTAAAAGGAATGCCTCCTATATCGCTTCTTTACCATTTTTTTACGGCAATATTCACATTAAACTATCGCTAACCTAGCGAACCGTCAATATAAAGTGAGTTTGTAATTTAATTAAAAATAGGCCAAGCGTCATCATTGGCCCCTGCGTCGGTGATGCAGGATTTTCTTTTTTGTTATGCCAGGTGTCCATGTGGAAGCGAAAAATTTCAATTTTTTTGGGTGGAAAATATGGGCAATTTTCTAAAGTTTTTTATGACTTCTAGTGAATCACTTGGTCAATATCTCGGCTCATTTTTGCCATTTTTGTGGATATATTGCTATCCAGTGGAAATATTTCCATTTAAACCACACACACTGCGAAGAAGGAAATGTGAGAGAATGAGAGTTTATACTTCCGTTATCAATTGCCTTACCTTTTTTAATAAATGCAAAGGTTCAAAAATAAACCTGTCATATCCAAAATATAAACACAGCTCCCGTTTAAACCTTCTTTTTTAAGCTAGAATAATTATCAAATTTGTGAAACGTTAACTTTACTGAAACGAAGTACAGTACTTTTACCCCTAACAAATTATTTATGAAAGAATGAAAAGAAACGCAAACGGATTCGAATTAGTGTCTGTTATTTCAGGACGTCTCGCTCGCAAGGGATTAACATAATTCGTAACCTAGATTTTCGAAACCGCGGGTGATGTTTAAATTTAAATTTGATCAACGTTACGCTTGCCATGCCAATTTGAAATGACCACAGCGCCGAATCTGACTTTTGTGACTAGTATTTACTCTGACCCTATCTTGTCACAGCATAATTAGAAACAAGCAAAGTTTTGTGAATATTTAGAGATATACACCGTAATCCTTCAGTGCGGGATTGTTTTAGTTATGACGTTTGAATATAAATCTGAATTCAAAATAAGGTGCGTAAATGCCCTGCTTGCCAAGATATGGGGGGTAAAAATTGAAAGAAAAATGTACGCCACTGATTTTTTTGTATTTTTCCGTTTTCGTTTTCGAGATAAGAAATAAAATAACCCCTTACTAAAATCACAATCAAAAAATTAGTACAGTTCTCCAAACAGTACACCGTTTTCATGACATAATCCGATATTTACCTTTGGTAATTTTTTATGGTTGGGTTTCTCTTTGTAAGCCTCAATAAATAGATTCGTAATTCCACAATGACGTACCAGATCCGTACTTCGGTACCTTGTGCACACAAAAACTTGTATGTTACTGATGGTTTTGTAATGAGAACTAATTCTTCGTACGAACGCACGTAGTCCCTCGGCAACAGTCAATGCTCAAAACACTATGTAACTCCTCATGTAAAGTTTTAATTGCTAAAACAATTTCCGACATGGTGCATGTGAAGTAGACTTTTTGGAACCACACGATCTTTTTGCGTTTTTCTTTCTTGGACACCATTCACAACTATGTCACGTACTGCGGTGTTTTTGTCATTTTGGGCGTTAATTTGGTAATTTAATTTAATTGGTAATAATTTGGTAAGAAATAAATTGTGATAAAAACAATTGAACAAGAGTAAGCTGGTAATTACAAATTACAAACACAAGATGGATTAGAAATAGAAAAGTCCAAAGCTTCGATGACTAATAAAGTACTTCATAAAACTGGCATCCTACGCCGATTTCACCAACCCCCGTCAAATCAACCAATAGCAAAACTGGTAAAAAGTCCATAATAATTCAATAATCTACATAAGATGCTTTCATAGGATAATATTTAAGAGTTAAACCATTAAGGTGTAAATCAGTTTAAGCTTTCTCATGTGTTTCTAATATAGGATATCAAACTATCTAATGAGCAAATTCAACTTGAAATAGAGCTACCTCGAGTAGGGACTGTTTTAGGAAGATTTATGACGAGCACACTGACACGAATTAATATGACAGTTTAATCAAAGAAAATTTCCCTACTCTTAAAATATTACAGTCCGTATGGCAAAGTTCTTGTCCGCTAATATCTTAAATGCGGCCCTGGATGTGGAACACGCTTTACAACAGGCGGGTCTTAAGTTCATTCCGAAGTCATAATCATAAAAGGTTGTAAAAGCGGTATATTGTCGGGAGAACTTTATCAATGTGAAATTTTTCGAAATCCGTCGTACTGCCAAAATTGATCAATTTCGTTAAAGAGTCTTTAGAAACTTACCACCTTGCAACGAAGGGTAGATGAAAAACGATGGTTCTTGTACCCATGAAATTATCCTAACTAGGTCCTTAACAAAATTTGGCACCATGCATTTCAGTACGGCGGTACAACCTCTCGCAGCACCAATAACTTCAACATCGACTTTAAATGATTGTGTAACCACTGCAAACAAAAGAAATTACAATACGGTTAGTGAGCTGAACAGAACTAAGTACCTGGGAGTCATAATGGATCGAAATCTAAAACGTCGCGTAGATTAACTAGACACTTAAACAGTTTTATATATAAATTCCACATCTTATGGGAATTTCTTGACACAAAACTAATAGTGTCTAAGAAATCTACTGCTGCTAATAGTTAGATATCAGGTCAGATATAAATTGCAAAGAAGCAAATTGTCATTTGTCGTTCGGCCATGATATTCAATTGTACGATAACAATAAATAATATGTAATAAATATGTAAACAGTAAACATGCAGCCTTCAAATTAAGTTTTAACTAAAATAGATACAAAGAATCTCCTTACCAGCCCTCACTTGTACATCCCTGCTGATAATTCTTCCTACGGTGTTAGAGGCAACGCATCGATATACGGTGCTGTGAATATCTTGCCTGCAAATAAATTTTTCTTAATTTTGGTCTTATTTTAGACATATTTGGTGCCAGTTGCAATGTATGAACCCATAAGATTCACCAAAGCGTTTATGATGTTTGTTCAAAATATGAAAACATTAACATGCAAATTCATTAACATTAGATTGAAAGGTTTAGAATAGGTCATCCTTTGGTTTATATATTTTTTAACACAAAATCTGTCCGGACTGTAGCCTACTGCTAAACTAAGAATCCAAAACATTTTTTACAGGGGATGCTTAAATAATTCGAGGAAAATTTTAAGGGGTCTTAAGCAAAATGGGAAGAAAAAGTTTTCGAAAATAACAACAATACAATATCAACATAAATAAAATCTTGTTTACTCTATTTTAACCGCATGATATAAAATGAATTAATTAAAAGACAAGCCACTAACCTATACGCGGCTGCGGCGAAAGGTTGCAAGAACAAAGTGCCGTTCCTGAGGACTCTCCTAATTCCCGAAACGTCGCCCACCGACGTGCCGTCGACGCTTAACCAATCGATCGAGGGCTGGGGGCTGCCGGACGCAGAACAATCCAGCCAGCCTCCGCTGGAATTGGAAAATTCTAATCGCGGCGGAGGCTCCATCACGAACGAAGGTCCCCTTAAGTGCGAATCGAAGCACATTATGAAACCTGAAAAAAAAAAAAGGAAATATTACGACAACGTCGATCAAACAAAAATATAGACAATTAGTAAATAAGACCGTAGACTCAAAAGTCTTAGACTAACACAGCATGGGGAAGGCATTACGATTCCTTGTTTAGCGTGCCCTCAACAAATCAAACGTATTCTTCATCAGTGCGTTACACAATATAATTTTTCAAAGACATAGTTTAAAAAGACTATGTGAAATTACTATTAACTCTCAAGATTGTCCAATTTATTTAGAAGATTTTGGAAGTCAGGTCCACAAATATCCCATAGTTATTTTATTATATCAAGAAGAATGCTTAATACGGGCGTCAGTAACCCCATATTGCTTTTTGGATAGCAGTTAATTATTCCTGACAGTCAAATTTTCTGTGAGACTCGAAATATTATCCACACACATATTTTGTTAACGAATTGGACTTGTCGTTTAAGTAACACCTTGTATTCTTACGAGACGTAAGTGGACGTCAGGTAGTTGGTGTTGGTGACTTCTACGTCCCTCGATCAACATCTCTAATGTTGAAAATTGGTAGGCCCCTGGTAAGGGGGAGTAGAAGTAACCAATACCTACTACTAAGACAGCGTTTTAAATTCGGACCTTTCGCAGATTTTTCACACCCGTTGGTGTTTTCGATAATCATTCATCATTCAACGATATTAATTTTCTTCACAAAGCAGAAGCCAAGTTTGACACTCGGCACTCTCGGTCCCAAACAAAAATAAATCACCACCGGGGAAGCAAACTTGACGTAATATTCAGAACGAAAAACTCTCGGTGCGGCACCCTCTTTCGCTTAAACGAAAATTGAAAAACGCAATCAACTCTTCGCTAACTGAGGCTTTTAGAATAGCTATCCGACTCGTTCTCCGATAATTACTTCCTGCGGTATTACCCCGAAACATGTACGGGCGAAGTAATCTTGGAGAAGTTGGGGTAAGGGATCTCTTTCCTGCCATAAAACTTATACAATTCCGGAACTGCGCTCAGGCGGGTGTGCTTACGGTTTTCGTGACCATTAACTTTATGGACTCCCCGGGTTCAAGGTTAACAGCGGGCTATATGATCCGTACGTAGTTGAAACTGCCGAGCAGGCAATACGGTTTTTCTGAAGACCCTAATCACTGTCTTTATTAATAAAGTAATTAATTTTTAACTTCCGTTAAACCGTTAAGCGGAGAAAGTCAAGCAAAGCAAAAGGACAAATGCCTGCATTCTTTATTCTATTAAAATAAAAATTGTTTTAGAATCGTCAACAATGTTAATCAAAATGTTTTTGAAAGAAATAACAAAAAATATGGCTTTCTAGTGCTTACTCTAATATAAGCAATAATTTAGTAATTAAGTGTTCGCAAAATGTCACTTAGTACAACTTCTTGCACAGTATACTATTTTAGGCTACCCCCTAGACAACTAAGGAAACTAACTAACTAAACTTTTCCGTTTTCCTGAAAATTTTTATGTACTGTAACGTTATGTTCTACTGAATTTTGTAAAGCTTCTTTTTTGATATTATAATTATGTAGTATTAAATGTGGTAGAAAAATGCCTTAGATCAGTTGACCAACTTGACAAAGATGGCCTCTGTATTGTTTTAAATTAAGAAAATATACCAAATCAATGTAAATTTTAAGTTTTGAGTTTTTAGCCAGTGTTTCTACGCGGGAGGTACCCTCAGCAGTGATCTGTGATCTGTGATCAGTGAAAATGGACGTGAACAAAGTAATAGCATTAGTGACGTATCATTCAGGAACCGCAATGATCCGTTTTGCCAGCCATTTGTAACTTACATTAATGGCTCAACACGACTTGAAATTACAAGCTGATTTACTTCATTTGCAGATATTTTAACTGTGTTTTGGGGCAACAATAACTCAAAACAGCTAATATTAAATATTGTATCTGATACTATAAATATAAAACAAGATTTACTTGTGTTGCGGAACATTTCACTCATAGGTATTAGCACAATAGGTTATTCCAAATTTTTGTTTTTTTATCGACTAGTCTACAAAACGGAAATATTAATAGCTAATAAATCAAACTAAAATGAGAAATAAAAGAATAAGAAAAATGAGATTTTTATAAAAAATACATATTTTTTATATTCTTTAAGTTTTAAATGTTTCTGTTAATTATTTAAAGCAGATTTTTGTGAATATTTTTTAGCAAATGTCTAAGTGTTTTTAATAAAATCTGTTTCATTTTTAGACATTTAACGAATTTTAAAACTTTTTTGTTAATTTAATTATCAGGAATAATTTATAATATTAGCCAATAATAGATGACACTTCTTCAGTGCCCCCCCATTGTTTTTTTTTCTGCCATATTTTGCCTATTACTAGTAAATGGAAAGAGAGTTGTTTACCAAGATCTCTTTGAAATAAAAAAAAAATTGCACCATTTTTTCTTAACGCCAAATATATACAATTATAAAAATAGAGGTTCTGGATACCTCGTATTTACTTATTTTTAAAATATCAACACCTATTGTGAATCCTCTTCTATAGGAAAATCAACGGCAAATTTATAAAAAAAGTTTTCATTTGGAGAAATATATTTATATATATTTAAGCCTGCAAATGTCGCCATATACAATAATTTTCCTGTCCACTAATATACAAGCAGCCTATATATACAGCCATATGATATAAAGATATAAGTGAATCGAAACAAATTTTGTCGTTAAGTTGCAGATTCTGAGATAATTAACGGGCCACATCGCACATTTGTCTCAAAATTCATAATCATGTTAAACCACCCCTATGATGGAGAACTGACATGGTTTAGAAAGAAGCAAAGAATTTCTGCGAGGAAAAGCAATTCGTTCTCCGAATAAATATTATATACCTATCCAAAACTTTAGCTTTACATATACTGCTTTAATTTTATCATATGCTGCCCTAATTGTCAATACATTGACTTTGGGACAGTTGGTTTACTTTTTTTTTTCGGGTTTTTTTGAATTAGCTTAGTTAATGAGACATATTCATTTAATGGACAATAAAATAAAGAAATATAAAAAAATATTTAATTTTCTCCAAACATTCCGTAAAGTAGCTTTGTTTGTCAAAATAAATAGATGAAAGTTATTTGTTGTTTTATCCAATAAAATAAGGCTAATTGGAATGTTAACTTACTACATTAATTATGTAGTTTTGAATACGTAAGAGTTTTCGGCAAAAAATCTCCATCGGGATATACTGGCGCCACCAATAAATATTCATATCTCGGATCCCTGAGTGTAAAAGTACGTTGTGCGCGACATCGAACAAGGCACCGATGTTATTACATTATGATAAACGACCCGGGTTGTCAGTTTCGAACTTTCGCGCGTCGCAAGGGACAAGAGTCCGTAGTCGAAGTAAATAAGGGAAACGCAGGCAAACCCCATTGTCGCACAAATCAGAGACTCACCGGCGTTCCAAGAAAGTCTCTGGGGCTAATTTTCCCTATTCAGAATTCCGTTTTGTTACTTTCCTTACATTATCCAAAGTGTTTTTCTTCTAGGTCGTTTTCGCGACCACCAGAATAAAAAAAATTACGGCCTTCGAAGCGGCAAACGATTTAAATACTAACGCGAATTGTATCGACGACGTACGCCTCTGCTAGAAATAATAAATGATGAACAGAATGCTTTCTTCATAGGTATCATGAAACATTACTGTATGGTTTTTATTTAACAAAACAAACAAACCACCGGTGGCCAGCAGGTCATACGTTCACGGATAAAATAAGCACCAACTTTCTGAAATTTTCAGTAAAATAAGATCATTTCTTAACTCCGGTATGCCAACCTGCATGTTGTTTCGTTGGTGTACCAGGATGCTATTAAAGTAGGCACTTCCAGAGACAACAAATTTGTTCAAGGTAAACGATCATTCTCCTGTAAAAAATATAGGTTTCACCAAATTTAGTAAATTAAATTCAATATTGTCATAAAAAAATCATATTTATCCTAATAGGTTATTGTGAAACCTGGATTAATGGTACACGTGTTCAGATTTAATAAAATACATTTAACATTAAAATTTAAGGAGCCATTAACCTTGCCCTTTCTTCAAAAAAAGGAATAATTTTGATGTTTCTAATTGACTTCCGGCTTTAGTAAAATAAAACGAATAAATTCAAGATCCTGTGGAATTAATAATTATAATAACTTAAAAATCGTATTCGTATTGAAGTGGTTTTTGCTTATAACAGCTGTATCGTGCCTTTATCAAATACAGACTTTTTTGAATCATATTTACTCGTCACAGAATAGCATGAAGTTCACCATGGAGATGAAAGGAGATAATTTTTTAACTTTTTGAACTTATATAACTATAACTAAACCACCTAATTAATTAGATTTCTACAGAAACTTTTGAAAAAAAAATTAAACAAATATCTTTTAAAAGTGGTTATAAGGGTTAATGTTTGAGAGATAAGATTATGAGTAAAAAAAAACTGTAAACTCTATTTGTCCAGTATTACACACCGATTCCCATGCCTAGAATAAACTTCTAACATTTGATTAGTTAAGACTCATCGGTAAGACCCCACACCTGCCACCAGATGAACCACCTTAAGTTATGTGGTTACTAAGGGTAACTATACTGACAGTGTTTCCAATATGGAAATTTTATTCGGCTGGAAGGAAAATCAAAACACACAAAATATTCCTTCTAGCTAAAAGTGCGTAATCAAAACTTCGTAAAACCCAAAGAACCCCGCACCTGCCACCAATCTGTGCTTATCTGTTAGTTTTTCTCAACCCCACATCCAACACCATCAGACCTAGTCCATGTTTATTTGAAATTATTTTTTATTCCGTTCAACTATTATTTTGCATATTGTAAAATTGTAAGTAAAAAAAGTAGGATAATTTGTTTAGCCTTTTCCTTAAAGTTTAATTTGATATCGCCCTGCTTTTATCATCGTATTTAATAAAGACAAAAGGGCCTAGCCATTCTTTCGTTTACCACAAAACTTTTCTCATAT